TATATATATATATATATATATATATATATATATATATATATATATATATATATATATATATATATATATATATATATAAATATATATAAATATATATGTACATATATATGTATATATATCTATATATATATATATATATATATATATATATATATATATATATATATATATATATATATATATATATATATATATATATATATACATATGCATAAATATATACATAAAATAAACCAAAGTTTTTTGTATAATATATATAGTATATATTTGATAAATAAACCTCTACAATTTCTTCGGTTCAACAACTCGATTATGATTAATAACAACTCTCTAAACATGAATTTTCTAATAATTTATATCTTAATAAATTGTAAACAATTAATTACTTATTTAAACAAATAATTACTTATTAAATTTTAAAAAGATTTTATATATACTTAATTTCTACTTAGACATTGAAATACTTATTGTCTATTTAGACTAAAAAATAACTTTTTTTTTTTTTTTTTTAAGTTGATTAAGGTGCCCCAAGAAGTCCTTACGGTCTTATCACAGAGCACCGCGGAAGAGCATTTAATAGGAAGTTCACGCCTCCTTCCTAACCGATGTCGCAAAACTTGCCCAGAGGTGGGGTTTGAACCACGGATCTTTTGTTTCTGAGACAAGTGCGCTACCACTGCAACACGGCTGCTCGTCTAATAACTTGTCTTCTGTAAAGCAAAACAATTTTAATTACTTATAAAATTTTAAATTTATTTTATATTCCCTATCTACCTAGATTAAACAAAAATCGATGTTGACATAAGCACTTGACATAATCCATTTTGAACTATTATAATATTATGATTATTATGAACTATTATAATAATGATTATTATGAACGATTATAATATTATGATTATTATGAACTATTATAATATTTGATTATTATGAACTATTATAATAGTTCATTTAGTGCCTTTTAGGTTCATCATACTACAGACAGGAGCATGGGCTTGATAAAAAGTCATAAATCTAATATATATATTTTTTTTCAGTGAATGTTCCTCCAAAGAGACCATTTTTCTTTTTTTATGAGAGCCTTCAAATTTTACTAAATTATTGGTCAAGACACCTTTGTTCTTCTGAATTGCTAGGCTTGTACGACTCCATGTGTTGCTTCTGAAATAACTATAAAGTTAAATGAGCAGCGATATATACACGACAAAAAATATTAAAGTGGGCCATATATGGCATTTGCATGGCAACCATATGCTCACCACTCTCCGTTATGGGATGGCGTTGATGCGTCCCATATGTGGCTATAATGTTTATCCCATTAAAACCACACTAGATAAAAACGAACGCCACACTTTATTTGTGCAAGAAAGTTTCATGTAGCCCACGTGTGGGGAGCACATGTTAGCTATATATTTACCACTCTCCTTTATGGGATGGCGTTGATGCGTCCCATATGTGGCTATAATGTTTATCCCACTAAATGCACACTAAATATAAACGAACAGCACGCTTCATATGTGCGTGAAAGTTTCCTGTGGCCCACGTGTGGGAAGCATATGTTAGCCATATATTTACCATCCTCCTTTATGTGATGGCGTTGGCGCATTTCATATGTGGTTTTAATGTTTATCCCACTAATAACACACTAAATAAAAGCAAGACCCACACTTCGATTGCATGAAGAATTCATATTTACTTTTTCAGTCTATCATCTGATGAATAATTATATCGAACCAGTTTGCCTTATACATTACCAAAAAAACACTTAAAAAAACAAAACTATCAAAAAGGAATTTAGAAGTTCAATTATACTAAATAATACACATATACAAAATCGCAATATATAAACAGACTAAGTTGCGTTATAATTACGCAAGTTATTAAAAGTGTTATATCGTATTGTTATTTATTTCTCTCCTCCATCAAATGCCTTGCAAAGATATTAATACGGATACAAATGGTTTTTTATATATTTTTTACATTTTGGTCCATTGTTCCACATTAAAAACTAAAAAATTAAATATAAAACTATAAAAAAATGAAAAAATAAAAAAAGCGAAAAAAGAAAATCCGAATAAAAATCAAAAATTCGCAAAATGCGAAAACGAAAAAACGAAACAAACGGTCGAAAAAAGATCTGGGCATTTCATTTTAAAGAGTTATCTTATTTCTATGTTAAAAGTTTCATTTGTGTTGCTCCAGATTTCTTTTATTTCTTCTAAAAATACACATAAGTATTTTTTTTTCTCTAGCAATTTGGCGTTCTTCATTCAAAATCTTTTTGATTTTGTTTTTAAACTCAGGCAAAAGTGCCGTCTTTGAAAATATAACTTTGTCGAGGAACGACCGTAGTCGGTTACAATGAATTTTATACAAGAGTTCGTTAAGAATAATATTTCCAATATAATATATATTTACATTTTGTGAAGAGGAAAAAAGAAAAGATTTGAATGTGTTTTGAAGACGTGGTAGGTGAGAATAGATTTTGTGAATGAGTGCAATGGCGTATTTTATTAATGGTTGAACCTTCTTGCAATTGTATACCATATGTGGTAGAGTTTTTATGGTTTCCATGCATTGAGGGCATAAATCGTTGGTTGTGCAGCCTCTTCTTTTAAATAAGTCATTTGTCGGTAGTTTATGGTGGATTAATTTATATCGAACTTCATCGGCTTTATTATTGTTTTTATTATTTTGTATTGTTTTAAATAAGTTAGACCATTCTTTTTGTGATATATCACTCATACTATTTTTGAAAATATATTGCCATTTTATAAAACTTTTACTTGTTATTTGGGTATACATAATTTTATAAATTGCTTTTGGGGTGAGGTCTTTTAAATGGATGTGTTGGTTGTTTTTAAGGTATAATAGTGGTATGGCTTTGTTGTGGTCACATTTTTGGCTTTCTGTGTTTATTCTGTTTTTCCAAAGAGGGGGTATAGAATTTATAATTGTTTTGTATGTATTTGTTTTGATTCCAACCTGATAACAGTCGAGAAATCCAGGAACAAAGACCTTAGCAAGGTCTGCTAAAATAATAATATTTTTACTTTCTGAATCTGGAGTTTATTTAGAGACATCAGTTATCTTAAGGTTATTTGCTTGTAAGGTTATTTGCAACATCAGTTTATTGTAAGGTTATTTGCTTTTTTGGTGTAAAAACAAAAGGTAGACTCAATGGAAAACGATTTTATGAATTAGACTCTAAAGATTTCAAGTTTCGTTTAAGTTTATCCGAATCTGAAGATTGTAGAAAACAATATCAATCCCTTATATCTAATGTAACATCCCCCACAAACACAAGATGTGCTTATGGTTAGGTGTTGTAAGTTATGGTACTGCGATAAATTGTGACAATTTGTTGTACATAAAAACAATTGGATCAGTTAAATGTTGTATTCAACCAGGGTATGAAGCACAAAGTTTATTAAAGCTGAATGATGTTAATGTTGTTATAACAATGAAGATTAAATAATCAGATGATGGTCCTGTTTACCAAATTCGTGTTTCTGACTTATTAATTGATTGCAAGTAATAGCATTCCTCTTCTGTTGTTAAAGATGCTTTTAGCAAATTAAACTATATTAGTTCTAAAAACTGGTCTGGTTTTCAGTTTTTTGGCTTGGATAGAAGTGAAGTAATCAATAAAACATCTTGTCCAATAATAAATTTTGATACACCATTTTTGACAACATTAAACAAAACAACAACACTGTAATAGTTGATTTACTGGATATAAGGAAACGTGGTGTTAGAAAAACTAGTTCGCTTCTCAGTAAAAAAGCTATAAAATCTCGGAATAAGACAATTTATTCATTAGCAAGCTATCGTGATGTAAAAAGTAAGTTGTTCTAATGTTCTATATTTTATTTTGATTAATTTATTGAATCTATAAAATTGAAATAACTTTTTTAGGTTTTGTGAGCTACATAATAAATGAGTGCCCAAAAATTGTTGAAGAAGTTATAGATAAAAATACTAATTTTTTAGTTCATAATGTTAAAAGGCTTAGGTTTATAACATCTATTAAAAATCTTGATAGTCAACAAACTGCTTCAATAATGATGGATAAAATTGAAATTTCACAGAGATCTTATAAAGTTTTAAAAGGTATTCTTAAGAAAAATAATATAAACATTCCTACATATGACAACCTTAGAAAATACTGTCTTAATATAGATGTAGGTCTAATCAACATGCTCATAATGATGCTCATAATAATCGACTGTGAGTGTTTTGGTTACTCTTGTAATGTTGAGGAAACACTACGAAGAGTCCTATCAACCCCTTCTCTTTATAAAAAATTTGAGTTTTTTTACATTGAACAACAACAAGTGATATGAGATTTCTTAATTCTGAAGAATAATACTCTTTATGAAAAGTTTGACACAAATAGCAAAACTTTAATTCTGCGTGACACTGGAGATAATTTTTGTGCTGCTAGTCGTTATCCAACTGAGCAAACTTCTTTTTCAATATTGAATTTATTTCCTATGATTAACAGCCCATATGGACAATTTATCACAACTCTTTGGCGAGGTAATGAAAGTCATGAGAATATTAAGTTACATGAGCAAAAAGTATACACAGATTTGACAAATCTAGTTAAAAATGGATTAACAGTGTGTATTAATGGTAGTAAAACTGAACGTTTTAATGTGATTTTATTTCTTGTGGCAGATCTTAGTTTTGTTAACAAAGTTATTGGTAAATGCTCCAGTAATCAAACATATGGTTGCAATCATTGCAAGTTGCTAATTTATGACTGGGCCGCTGTAAACAAAAAGATTGGTCCTATTCAATTGGTTGTTGATACCCAATAACGTGGGGAATATGCATGGGTTGAGCTAGGCCCTAGACCAAATAAAGATTCAGCACAATATAAGAAGTTTACTGCTAACAACTATGGACAATAGGTAAAAAGTAAAAAAAAATTAGTATTTTTATTTTATGTTTAACAAGAATCTGATAATAACATATTTAGATACTTCTGAAATATGAAAATCATAAAAAGTGTTCTAAAACATTATTTATTATTTCAGGGAACAGTGTTAATTGAAGGATTGATTATTGATTTCATGCCACAATGTGGCTTGCATTTAATTTTGGCACAACATAGATATCTTTGGAAATTTTTATTTGATGTAGTAAATAAGCGTTCACAAGAAAACCTTTTGTCTGAAGGATTGAAAAAGATTGGGTGTTCGTATTTAGCATTTCAACTTGATTGTTATTTTAAAAGGTAAATGTATCATTATTGATTTATGTGTGATGTTATGTGTAGATATTATTTTATTTTTAGTTATTATTTTATAATTTTTTTAAATTTGAGTGCAGAAATTAAAAAATATTTAGTTAATTGTAAACAGTTCCAGTTATTGATAAGTGGGAGTCATAAGAAGTGCTACATGTTTTCTTGTTTTACCTATGCTGAAATTTAGCACAATATACTATATAAATATATTGTTTAATTAATAGTGTATATAAAAAATAATTATTAGTTACTTAGTTCAATGGTCAAAATTGAAATGGTTTTCATAACCATTCAGCCTAATACTGCACAAAACTATTTTTAGCAAAAAGAAACATTATGATGGAACAGAGAATTTGAGAATGATTGGAAATGATTTCAAAATCTTAGAAGCAAATATAGATACTTTCCTTACTGTTTTTGTTGAGAATCAAAGTGTTTCATGGCAGTCTCAAAAAAGTCAAAAATTAAGACATATCCTTCAACTTTACAATGCATGGGCTGATTTGGCTCAGCACATTTTTCATTTTAATTATTATAATTTTATAGTTATTAGTAATAAGTAACTTTAGTAAATTGATTAAGTTGACTTAAGTTTAATGCTGGAAATACCAATAATATTTTTTAGTTAAAACTATTATTTTCTTATATACATATATTAACATGCAGTATATCAACTTTTACAGGGATGTTTGTACCGTTCACCATAATCCTGATTGAATAAAATCCTTCAATATTCGAGCAGAGGCATATTTTCAGCTATTTCTACATAATGCTGGAACAAATAAAATTTCGAAAATGCTATATATGCATTATTTGAGAAATCATCTTGGTATATTAATGGAAACATATTTAAAGTTATTTAATTGGGGGTACTTTAATGCTAATGCAGGAGAACATTTAAATAAGCAAATGAAGTATTATGAGATTTCACATACTAATCTTTGCAAAAATCGATTCTATACAATTATTCATTTGATGAGATGCAAGCAATTTTGTTTTACAGAAAATATTCTTCCTTCTTCAATAGTTGTTAAATGTTCAAAATGTCAACTGGAAGGACACAATAAGAAAAACAAAATTTGTCTCTTGCATGAAAGTCATCCTGAAATCGTATTTGAAAATACTGTAAATGAAGATAAAGATTGAAATGAATAAATGTTTTTTTTTTTTATTTACAGTTAATGAATGAATTTAGATATGAATGAATGTATGTTACATATGTCATTATGCAATAAATAATAATAATAAATATCATAACGTAATAAGTAGTACATGTCATAATGTGAATATATGGTATGAATTAACCTTTTATATATATTATATATTTTTTTAAATTGTGGTTACAATGTGGAACAACTTATTACTCAATAATATGTATATTATTAATTAATAACTTGTTCTAAAATATAGAATATGCGAAACCTTTCATAACAATACCAAAACACATTTTTACGTACAAAAGGTGTGTTTCAATTAATTCAACTTTTTTTTATAGCTTTTAGTTAAATGTCTGATCTGCAAAGAAAATTTTTAGATTGCGCTGCAAGGAACATCAAAAAGCGAGTAAAAAAGAAAATAAAGAATAACAATACATTAAAATCTGATATGGCTACTCCTCATCACAGAAAACTAACTTTATCGCATGTCCCTAAACTTTCATTTACGTGGGTGTACGGTAGACAATTCAATGCATTCACTGAAAAATGTAAAGGTAATACTTAAGATTCAACTGCTATTTTTTGTCTTAAATCTTTAAAGCGTGTTGTCACAATTTTGAGCACAGGCGCAATTTTAAAAGTTCATAAATCGAACGATGTTTCACTTATTACTCCTTGGTATAATTATTTGGATTCAAAAATTATTTTATTTGATGATAACAAACATTATTTTTTCGAAAGTAGCACTTGCGTACTACCATTATATAAAGAATGTGGCGAAACAATGGTAGTTTTTTTTGTGTGTGTGGTGGCCTTGACGAAGATAACAATGTTCCAGAATGGACAAAGGAAACTTATCCTTGCAACCTCCAACTCAGCAATACACCTCACTTATATATACATAAAAGAAGCATTGGAGTCGTCAGTCTGAATTTAAACAAAGATTATGTATCTGTTCAAAAAGACCAAAGTATTCAAGATGTCGATTTTCTTAAGATTCGTGGCATTTATTATGAAATAAGAGATGTCTTGTTCAGATTTTTGATGTAATTTATTTTAAAACAATAGTTACAAAAGCAGCAAACAACTGTAAATATGAAATTGTGAAGTCTCCAACCTTCCGTGGCAATATAGCGCATGTGAAAAAGTCTCATTTTAACTTGTACCGTGGTGTTACTCTACATTTGAATAAAATCGATGCTGATGAATATAGTGGAACTAGATATTTCATTCCAAAGTGCGTGTTTTAGTTGCCTTGGTTTTTTAGTTCACGAAGTTTGTATATAATATTTCGAAATATAATGGAAAATGAGATTTGGAAAAAAGCAAAGACGTTATTTTTTTTTAAAGATAATTTTTTAAAGAAAAGAGATTTTACAAAATTTACTTAATAACTTAATAAGTTATTATAAAAATTAACTCTTTTAATTTTTTAGCATAAAAGCTGATGACAAATGATTAATTAGCAAACGTTTAGCAAATGATTAATTAGCAAAAATTAATTTAACGCATTGAATTAATACTTTGCACAAAAATATTCTTTTTTAAAAATGTGAGTAATTTGTGGAATATGCAATAAAAACAATTCAAACTTCGAGTTTTAATGTTTCACTTCCAACCGTAGATCGACGTGTATATATATTAGGCAGTTTTTAATGGCAATTTTTTTAAAAATAGGTCAAGAACAGTCCAATGCTAAATTATTATATATTGCATTAGTGTCACTCTGGTAAAAAAAAAGGTAAAATCATGGTTAAACTATGTGTCCGGGGCTACCCTCCAATTTTTAAACATACCTTTTTTCTAACATTTTTTTTTTTATGTTTTGAACATTATTAAGATAAACAACAATATTTTTTTTGTTTTTAATTCGATAGATGAATATTTGAACTTTTAAAAAAGTCTTTTGACACTTTTTTTTTTGTTAGCACATTAGCGCAATCTATATTTTCCTTAAGTGTCCGAGGCTACCCGATTCTCCCCTACCTTAATTAAACTATAAAACTTTAATATGCAAAATATGAAAGTTGCAATTCCCGATTCTATCTTGTAATGTTGCAACTTATTTGCCTTTAGATAAATACTTAACAAACAAAAAGCTCTGACATATTTTTTTTTAATTTGAAATCAAAAGCATTTTTTCTTGAGGGGATTTTTTCCGAATAGATTATTTCTTAGAACCTTTTAAGTTCAAAAAAATTTAATTAACGCAGAAAATATAACACGTTTCAAATAAAAAGTATGTTTGTTTACCTACACTGTAAAACTTTACCGTGAAAATCACGGTACTATACCGTTACCCATAAATGCCAGTATAGTACCGTGATTATTTTACAGTATAACACCGTGAATAAATCACGGTGAAACGCCGTAATTTTACGGTAGAATACCGTGATTATTCTATGATAAAATAGCGTGAATTACGGCATAGTACCGTGATTAATTTAAAGAAATGCCTCGTTCATTAATCGTATAATATATATTGTACAATAAAAATCGGTACAAAATATATTTTAACTATCTTCAAAAAAAAATTTGCCTGTTTAACTTTTTCTTCGTATTATGATTATTACCGTGATTTATTAAAATTGTTTTATCAAGTGTATTTTCAATCATAAATATCTATCAACATATATGCTTATTTATATGCTAATAGCAACAAAAACACGTCATATTTTTAAAAATCTTTTCAGTTTTAATTTATTTACATGTTTATAAATAGAAATAGGTACTTAGATAAATTAAATGAATATAAATAAGTTAAAGCAAAATACAAATTTTAAATTTCTGATATATCAATATGACATTATATAAATAGTTATATTCGGAAAGTAGAAGTAATTAAAAAATAAAACAAGATATTATTGTAAAACCTTTGAAAATTTACAAACAAATATAAATAACTACATAATAAATTGTTGTTTCAAAGTTAGATGAAGGATTTTAACATGGTAAATTCAAACATTAAATTTCGCAAACTTCTGCAGTATCGACAGCACAATTTTGCTTATTGATGAAGTTTTCTTCGTTCGCCTTGATTTGCTACCCTTTTCCGGATTGATGCCAAAAAATGCACTAGAATGGTCAGTAATATATGTATAAGCAATTAACGTTTAAAAACATTCATAAATAAAACATACAACCAAAATCAAATACATAATAAACCTTAGACAAATTAAATAAATTTATACCGTTGACAAAATTCTAATATTGAAGAAGCTTCTTTTGGATATGGTATATTGAAAATATAAAAACTAGCAAACAAACAACAAAATGAATTGATAAAATTGGTCATCCCATCAACCACAACAATGCAATCTATTACCAGCATGAATCGATTTGCTGTAAATAGCGAATTTCCTAAAAACAGAATGTAAGTTGACTTGTACACTGAAAAATCCACTTAAGTATATTTAAAGAAAAATGATAAAGTTCATCCTTTTTTTCAAAAACTTAAAGCATATTAAAACTTATAATTCAACATACCATAAACACGTAGATGTGGAAAGTTTGGTCCTGGTGCCAATTCTGTTTGATCCACTGTCTCCTAAACATTTTTTTCTTACTATCAAATACTTTGAAGTAACTACATTGCATGTTATTATAAAATGAGTGAAACGATTAATTGCTTGAAAATTTTTATTGAATGTTTATTAAATTATTTATTATTTTTAACTTACATCCACAAACATAAAAAGTGTGTCAAATTTTTCATTAAATAAAGTAATCAAAGCCAATACAAGACCAGGAGCCACAGGTAAATCTGACAAAGTTTCGTGCTTTGCTTTATCTAAATCTAATATCACCTTCTTCACTCCAAGGTCTGTTATTCCGCAACTACGCAAAAATAAATATAACTTTTCATCATCTAGAGCTTTTGTCAGAAGTTCACCAGCATTAACTCCACCCATCAAAACATCAAAATGATGTAGCAAACCTTCAACCTAAATTTAAAAAACTAATTTAAATACATATACTAAAACTAAACAAAATAAACTTCTACAAAAATATAATTAAATAAAATATAGAATATAAAAATGAAATATCTAGTTATCATTATATTGATTAATATATACTGGTTAGTAATATAAATTATAATATTTTTAAATAAAAATAATTTAATTTACTGTAAATAAATTGGGGAATTTTATCAACAAATCATTCAATAGCATCTTTTCATTTATTTCAGTTCGTTGGAGATAATAATCAAGTTCATCAGGGCTGATTGAAACACTGAGAACTGGTGCTCGGTTCAAGCAACCATAACTATCAGTTTTTCTTTTTATGACATCAACTGGCAATTGTTCATTTTGGGTTTCCAAATTGAAAACATTTAGTAACGGTGGCGCACGGTTTGGCCGCTGAAGATAGTCATAACGGTTTACTAGTTGTAACGTTAAACTGTCATGACCGCTACCAATTACTGTAATACCATATTCATCTTTAAATGATTGAGGATATTTGGCAACCATAGAAGATGCAATTACATCTAAATGTTTTTTCAACGGCTTTGAGCAAACAGCAAGGATATCATTCATAATAGTCCTTATGATTGTACACCGATTTGCTGTTGAAGGTCTTTCTCCAGCTGCTAATATATCTTGTACCTCTTTAGACATTTTTTCCCAAGGTAAAACAAATGCCAAATACCAATCAGCCGCACTTACATGCTTAACCTTCATTTCTAGACAGAATTGAAACTATATTTAAAACAGAGCAATGAAATATTTATAGAACACTAATAAAATATTTTTTCACTTATAATGGTTAATTAACAACTTCTTTTAATAACTTACTCGATTTAGTTGAGTTATTTTTCAGTTCAACTGTGGGCATCATTTGCATGCTGCATTGTGTGGCAACAATAAAATCTACAGGATTTTGAGATTGTTCTGCAAAACGTTTTAATAATATTATAAATAAAAACATATAAATGTATATGATAAAATGATAATTATATATACATATATATATATATATATATATATATATATATATATATATATATATATATATATATATATATATATATATATATATATATATATATATATATATATATATATATATATATAAATATATATCATATATCTTTATTACCAGAGCTTTCCTTTGCCCAAGATTCAAGGATTTTGCGTTGTTGGATGGGTTTTAGCAAAACCAAATCATCAATTTTCACCAAGTAGAGATCTGCTTCATTTTCAACACCTATTTCCCATAAATAATTCACAACCTGGTTCAAAACACATATTTCAATATTTGGCAATGTTCTTAAAATATTACTTTTAATAACCTCCATTATCTAAAAAAAAGAGATCATATATATCATGCACATATTACAAAAATATCCCATATATCATTATAAGTTATATACAGTCATATACAGAGTCATGTTATATTGTAGGCCAATATTAATATATATATATATATATATATATATATATATATATATATATATATATATATATATATATATATATATATATATATAAATTTTAAGATAAAAACTGCAGACATTAGCCAAATACTACAAATAAAATAGTTTACAAATAAAATCTTTTATTACGATACTGTCAAATAAAATATACAACTTTTTAAAATTATTTATGTAAAACTATTGTTATTTAATGAGCATGACACAGAGTGCTTTAAGGAAATAAAAGAATGATTGCAGTGCTTATAAGATGGTAGCGGAAGGTAATCTATTAAAGAAGCAATCATTATACATCGAATCTCTTTATGTTCTCCACAGACCTCATACATACCAAGCTCATGCACCAATTGTGTGTTCTGCTCATTAACAAGAACATATTCAATTCCATGTGTATCAAAAAAAATAAACAAAATTCTTGCAAAAATAGGAAGTTCATGATCCTTCGTAAAGTCAATAATCAAGAACAAATCTTTTTTGTAATGGGTACCTTGATAGACAATATGGGTAGAAAATGTATCCGGCAGTTGTCCGCATGTAGATATAATTGCCTCAAAAATTGTAGAACTAAAATTTGTGATATTGAATAAAAATGAATTGACCGCATAATTTTTTGAACTCGGTATGCTTGAATTATTGTATGATTGCAACAATTGATGTGTCTCAGTTAAGGTTTTACATACATGCTTGTAATTGTTAAAATTTCTGGCACACTTTTTAAAGTAAGAATGCTTTTGTTCAAACCTCAAAGTGAAAACCCGCATTAGAGGTCCGTAACGCAAAATTAGCTGTGGATAGTGGGACAAATAATGATGTTTTGGTAATAGTTTCTTGGAAGGAAATAATTCTTTACGAGAAGACAAATAACCATTTATTGAAACCTGCAGATAAGCAATATGTTGAATGTCAATTTTGGGTGAACATATAATCTCCACAATTTCTTTCAGTTTTAAATACAATAACCACACAGGATCTTCAAAATCTGTAATGTAAATTCCTATAAAAAGGGGAAACAAACGCAAAAACACCCAGTTTTGAACTGCATGACCACTTAACTTTTCAGTACAAGAAATTTTATTCACCTCACAAGGTTTATCCAAGGCATCTCCTTCAAAATACTTATGCATGTTAATTCTTCTATTGATATTGTTAAATGAAAACCATCGTTTACTAACAAAATATTTAACAAATAGATACATATCTCGCGAAGCAACGCCTTCAAAAATATCATGAGCTAAGCATGGTGGCAAACCTGTAGACACATGAAATCCGCATAAATCATTATATTGGTGACTGAAATTTTATTCCTTCAAAATTGTTATCATTATTCTGAGCTAATTGAAGCAGGCTATTATTGTGGCTTGATTTTGTCCGATCAGGTCCGGAGAATTCAGGGTTAAAATCAAACTCTGCACGTGTTGCTAAACAGTATCGACAAAAGTGCGAAACTGTGCTAAAATTTTCACAAAAACCTCCTATAGAATGTGATCCTAAATTATCTCCTAGTATGCATAGAAGTTTTGTTTTTATTGATAAACTTTTAGAAACAGAAACAGAACAACCAGATATTTCTGCCAATTCAGAAAAAATTGGTGCAAACACTTTGCTGAGGCCAAAGTACTTTAAATCTGTATCTTTACACATTAGAACCAGCTGTAACTGCTCCGATGCATATCTCTTGTGGGGTGGAATATTTGCTAATGTTAAGTAAACCGCAAGAATTTTATGTTTTTTCCTTCCTGATCCAATTGGGTTGACAATTTCAAAAGAATCTTGATATAGCATAAGATATAAAATTTCATCATCAGACTTTGCAATATCTTTAATTAGGGATCCACTCATTAAGTCTGTATATATACCAAAATTTTCCTCCGGTTTTAGCCAAAAACCAGGTTCATTACTATGTTTATTGTACATCATTTTTAATAAATCCTTTATTGGAACATAATGAACAGTTCTAGATTTTTTATTGGCATCAAAACCTAAAGTCAATTCTTTTGGAGATATATAACTCATGTGTTTATGAAAATAAGCTTTCCTTTTTTTATTAGTACGTAAAGTGTACAAACTGTTTATCTTTGTATGTTCTGACTTAGAAAATTCTGCTAAAACATTTTCACAGATATCACTGCTTTGATTGGACATTGCAGATGACAGACTTTGAACAGATAATAAAGAACTTGAATGATTTGCTACCATAAGTTCATCAAAAATAGATTGAATACAAGAAGCTGGTATTATATTTTTTACTTGCAATTTTAAAAAAAAGAGAGCTTGATCCTTTAAATATTTTTCAGAAGAAATATCATCAATACCATCAAGAAACTCTTCATTTTCATAGTGTTCTAAAGATCCACATGTAAAGCTTTCTTGTTCAAGTGTGCTAAAATCTTTATCGTTATTTAAATAAGAAGAATTTAAGCTATGTACAATATGCACTGGCATGATAAAACTTGAATCCCATTGCTTATGCTTTCTGCTTATATGAGATGCAAATGAATTTCGATTAGTGTAAGAACTTTTGCAATTCATGTAAGGACAATGAACTGTGTCAAGTGAGTCAAGATGCAATTTAAGATGTAAAATAAACTGAGATAAACCAGCACATATTTTTTTACATAATGCAATATCACATTTAAAACTTTGGAAAATCTTATTTATTTCTGTAATTGGTTTATTTTCCATGATGATTGTATTATGAGCTTTTCTTATATGCAATTTGAAAGTTGAATATGTTTTGAAAATAATTCTGCAATTTTTAATGCAACAAGGAAATTGAATATTAGCTAAATTGCGATGGCTTTGATAATGAGTCATATAACTCAGCAACGATTTCATTTTTTTGCCACAATGGTTGCATGCTTTTAAATCCAATTTAGACATTTTCTTTTTTTAACTGTAATATACATATATATATATATATATATATATATATATATATATATATATATATATATATATATATATATATATAATATATATATATATATATATATATATATATATATATATATATATATATATGTATATATATATATATATATATATATATATATATATATATATATATATATATATATATATATATTATATTTATATATACACACATATATATATATATATATATATATATATATATATATATATATATAAATATATATATATATAATTATATCTATATTATACAATATATATATATATATATATATTTATTTATATATATACAATAATAATAATAATAATAATAATAATAATAATAATAATAATAATAATAATAATAATAATATGATGATGATTTAAGGTACGAAGATATAAAACATAACTAAAATTTATAGTTGTAACAACTATTAAGCCTGAAACTATATTTAGCCTAAAAATATTAAACACTCGTATATATATATATTAAAAATAACGTAAAAATAACGGTACTGTACCGTAAAATGCAATCACGGTACAATACCGTATTATTCACTGTATAGTACCGTGAATTTCACGGTAAAGTTTTACAGTGTATACTTATTTTTACTGACGCATTACTATACAATTTATATATGTGGTTGTGGAAGTTTGCTAACATTGTCCGCTATTTTAAAATATAATGTTGTTTAAGTATAACTATAAATTTGTATTCGTTAAGTATAACTCTGATTTATAAATTTTACGAAAAAATTTATTTAGAACAGCAATTCTCTAATATATTCATTACAAAATCGTTTAAACAATTTTATTTTTGTTTTGTTTTTATAACAAAATTATAAACATTTACAGTTTTATAAATTTTATAATATGTATTGTAAACTTATATATAAGCAGGGCCGCACCGAACGACGAAGACTTGAGGAAGGGGGTGCGCAAAGTAAAAAAAGTAACTTTACAAACAATCCAGTAGGAAAAAAGACGTCGAAAAGACGTCTTTAAAAGTCTTTTTTACGATGTCTTTAAGACGTCTTTTTTTAATTGATTATGCAAATCTAAAAGACATCTTTTTTCGACATCAAAAAGACGTCTTTCTTTTATTTAATATGGTCATAAAAAAACATGAAAAACGCGTCTTTAAGACGCGTTTTTTTAGTCGAATATGCAACTTTAAAAGACATCTTTTTCCGATAATGAAAAGGCGTCTTTTTTTATCTTAATCTTGACATAAAAAGACATAAAAAATGCTTCTTTAAGACGCCTTTTTCAGTCGAATATACAAATCTAAAAGTGTTTTTTTTCGGGGTCGAAACGACTTTTTTGCCATACTTAATAGTATACTATAGTATCTTATACACTATAGTATTCTTACTTTTCTTGTATAAATAGCTATTTTTTCAAAGGAAAATGATAATAGCTCTTCATACAAAGTATGACAAAAAACTTTTTCTGATGCCGAGAAAAAATCTTCTTTTAGATATCAATATAAAAAAGGAAGCATTTTCTACATCTTTTATATTTTTAAATACAGGAGGATATTTCATAAATAAAACAATAGTATTGTTCAACAGAATATTTTTTCATCTTTTTCTATCTTTTTTGTTTCTTGAGCGAGCTCTGTTTCTTGACGTTGTTGAATAAAGTTAACAATTTTACATCGAGAAATCCTTTCATACGAGCAGGTTATGACTTCTAGCATGTTACCACTTCTAAAAAACGAGTGAATATAAAACACAGTCTATTGCTTAAATGTAATACAAAAAAAGCTAATGAAAACTCGATTAGCTGAGTGGAGCACATTATACTTACCTACTATTAATTCAAAAAGAGCTGATCCTTTTAATCCACTCATGTTTTCAACGCAGTCCCTTCTTTTTAAACCCACAAGGTTAGATTGGGACAGGAGTTAAACGGTAAGCAGTCTAAAAATATATAAAAATGAGTGCGCTAAATAAATTTACAAACATTGAAATGACTGTACAACGATGTATTTTATTATGTAGTACTTAAATCAAGTTAAACATATGCACCTCTCAGATTTGCTATGAAAGCCAAATTATTAAAAACAGATATTGATATTTTATTTCGCTGAAATTAAGTGTTGAACTCATAACAATTTAAAAATCCGTTATTGACTAAAGACTATCAAAACAAAAAGATAATTCAGCTGATACACCTTGAGAGTTGTTATTCATTTAAACTAGAAAAAAGTATTAGTTAAAGCTCTGTTTTAGCCTAAAACATAAGGATACTTTACTTAACAACATAAAATCATAAAAACTGGCGATATCATTACCAACACAAATGAAAAACACATAAACAAAAATTAAGACTAGAAAGCTGCAATGATGTTTAGATATAAGAAAATGTACCTTTCCAGTATCAATTTCACTTGGGTCTTTTTTGTATCCAAACTAAAAATTTTGCGAACAGTTCTAAAAATAAATCTGTTGTCATTATGTGTATATTTTTAATTGCTTTGTTAATGGCAGACAAAAGTTAACAAGGAAACAACATATTTATCATTAAAGTTAAAGAACCAATCCTTTGTTTAAACAATTTCATCATTCAACTAAATAAAAACAAAATTATTCAGACCATTTAAAAACATATTTAAAAAAAAAATTGCAAGCCTACTGAATACTTCTTATTTTCTATCGCTGGTTTCACTGGCAGTTAAACAAGTAAATATAAAGAGAAATTGTTTTACAGGTTTTTATTTTCGTCTGAAAGTAAGTA